TTGTGTGTAGTTTCAGTCATTTTCAACGTCACCAGTGGAAGAAAAAGAAGGAGAAAGAAAAAGTTAGCTAAAATCTATAGAGCCATATTTTTATCGGCGAAAATGGATTTTTTTCGAATGTTATTTAACTGAGCGCCACATCCAAATTAAATTCATTTTTAACATTTGATAAAATAATACTTACCTACAGATAAATCTGTACTGAACTGTGTACAATTACACATTTAGACAATGTGTACTATACACAATCACCAAAGCCACAAAATACAAGCTTTGCTACTAACTACCAGAGTTATTATATTTTTTCTTTTTGATTTCGACGCTGCTGAATCATTGATCTGGAACAACGTTTGCATTGGCTCTTCTGCGTGCTGGTTGTCCTCTACGCAATGGTGGTCTTGGAGGTGCTGGTGCTCTGACATACGAGTTGTGCATTTCCAAATTGAATATGTAACAAAGACCTGTAATTAATAAGAGGCAATTTAATTTATTGGAAAATATACCAAATAAATTACAGTGTTTACCTTTGTACATGATGCATCTAGCCGCAACAATGTCTCGATGCCAAACGGTGCAAAATCGTTTTTGATGTTGCTGTTGTTGTTGTTGTTCCGGATATTTATCAGCGTCGCCTCCCATTTGAATTGCATTCACAGGGTTTAGTAGCCAGTTTTTCAGAAAGTACATTTTCTTTGACTCTAATCGCCCTGGTTGAAATTCTGCTGGTTGATTTGCTGGATCCATGATGCCTCTTGTGATCAATTTCTTCACGCAGCTATCTTTATTTTTGCGTCGTTGACTCTTCTTCGTCACAATTAGCCGTGGTAGTGAGATATACGGTTCTATTTCTTGTGGTATTGGTGCATCGCGAGTACAGTTACGGCACACTTTGAATCGATATTTTTGTGTTTGAATCGGTGTTTCTGGCAATTCGCACAGTGTTGAGATGTGAAATCTTCATTCACTTTGTGTACATCTGAATGGCCAAGTTTTTTAACGCTGCATTGAAGATGCCGTGTACCTGGGCATCGTTTTCCCTTTTTTATGCCAATTGGTGAATTGGGTGCCATATCCACTGCTCCGATGTTTATAAGCGATGGCTCATTCTTTGTTATTACTTTCGCCAGCCAATCTTTCTCACCTTGTGACCCGATGTATTTGTCAAACGAAAGCCGTGCATAACGTCGCCGAGCATATGCAGCCACTGCATTTTTCACCATGGTTAATCGATGCCTGACGTAATTTCTCCATCGGATTCCTCGCGGTGATGGTATCGATGGATAGCTTTCACGGTCCAATTGCTCTCGTTGTGTGAATCTGGCAGTCATACGCTTTCCCATTTTGTCTCTGACTTTTTGTCCGGCACCCCAATGATATGACTTCGAAGATATCTTGAAATTTTCCTTTAACAAAAAAATTTAAAAATGAGCATTGATTTTTGTAGAAAACATTTCATTTAAATATAAACTCACCTCAGTGCGATGTTCAATATTCCGACGAATTCCGGCTAAGTATGTTTTCATACCGGGATCAATTGCGACGATGTATTTATACTCATTGTTCTCGAGTTTTTGCTTGATTCTTTGTCGATGCAGCTCCGTATTCTCGATCTCAGGCTTTGGTGTTCTGTACAATACCGACGCGGAAACGCTATCGCAGACTATCATATGATGAAACTGTTGGTTCGGTTTCTTGATCTCGTTGATTTTGTCCATGTTGAACAAAATGGCCCATGCTTCATCTTCGTTCTCCTTGTAATAGTTACGGCTATACATATTATGCCCTCCATGATCATTGTTAAATATCTTCGGCACAACTTTCCATTGGGCCAGCAGGCTCATCAAATCATCTTGATCGAATTTAATGTGTTTCAACTTCGAGTCACATATCGGTATGACGGTGAAATTTCTTATTTTTGGTGGCAATGGCTTGGATGGTTTGCAATAAAAAAGCGGATGGCGTTGGTGTCGTAGCCATAATTGCACAAGATCGTGATGCTCTTCCAAAAATATACTTATTTCACGTTGAATGAAGATGAAAAACCACAACGATTCAAACCACTTTTTCTCGATGTATTCAATCATTGACAAACGTTCGCGAAATGATGGTAAACAGCGTACGGCGACTTGTTCATACAACTCATTCATTTTGTTCGTTCGGTGTTGATCGCCTCCGGTACAATCTTGATTGAACATAAGATTGTTCTTTGCATTTCTTATGTCAATGCCATCAAATTTTATGAGCCGATTAGGGTCTTCGTTCAATTGATAGCGAATCATTTGCAAGAAGCTCTCCAATATATTATCTAAATGCGTTGTCAAATTTGTCGTAACATTTGACAAATATTGTTGATTCAAGTATTCAAATGCGTTGCCCATTTGGTACCTACTTGGCCATTCAAATTGATCATCGGCAATCATTTCAAGGAATCCACGTGGTATTTTCGGTTGTTTTGGATTTTCCAAATTTTCTCGTGATACGGCGGCGAAACACTCACGTATAACATTTTTTCCATCACTGTCAATGAAATATTGCCGATCATCGTTATCTGCTGCAAGGTTGACAACATATAAAAACAATGTCGAACCTAGGTAGCATATTACTGTACCATTGTAGCATTTATGGAAAAAATGCTCTGTTAGCGCTTCCGAATATTCAGACTTGAATACCGAAGGCGCTGACAGTTTTATCGATCGCAACTCTTCATTGTCGTTCAATTTTGCCGTATTTTTCTTAAAGGCTGAATTTATTTTTGCACGTCTCCTCTTCATTTTAATGAAAATTAAATCTGTTCAGAAAAAAAACACGAAAAAATTGTCAAATTCGTGACACACAGTCCATTGATCACTTCAAAAAAAAAAAATTAAGAAAAATGGTTCGTTTTTGAGTACTTACCAACAACACTGTCACATTCACTGCAAAATGACAAAAAGCGCGTTCGAAAATGTTGTATTCACGATGCAATGGTCGACAATTGGAACACAAGGCTAGCGAGAGAGATTAAATAATTGCATAAATTTAATTAAAACACTTTTTCATTTGAAAAATATATATACAAATATAGAGCGGTCAAAGAGACGCTTACTGCTGTGAAATTCTTTACTAAACTGTGGAATCACCTCAAAAATACACCCGAATTTATAGGGAATTATTGTTGAATCGACAAAAGTAAACGTTTATTAAAAATGGCCGATGATCAAAATCGAAATGTAAATCACCGTATGAAAATATTATTTGTAAAATAGCATAACAGCACTCTTGGTTTGAAGCACAATCTTGAAAATGAACAGAAACTGTTTTTCAAACGTTTTGATATGAAAATGAGATTTTATTTGTGTTGTCGAAGAAAACGATTTATTTAGTCACTTTCATTTCACCATCAGAATATATTGTGTTCTGATTTACAAAACAACTCCTTCTGAAATGTTACGATTGAAACTAATCAACACAATGCACCGTACACATTTGAAGTAACAAGCAAAATGAACGTCGGCGAGAAATGTCAAATTATAAACAAAGAGAGATGTGTGATTTTCGGTTGAAATTTGAATTTTGCTGACACAAGCAAATTAAGAAAAATCTGACTGAATACACAGAGTGATACATAATGTATATGTAGACAGAAATGCATATGAATAATCAATACGTTGTATCAAATGCTGTTATTGCTTACGAAGCATACTGTTAATCAACGAACACACATAGCTATTACACGGAGTCTGTCGAAACGTTTTATGTAAACACAATCGAAAAGAGAAATGTTTATGTATGCGATGCGATTATTGTTTATAAAAATGCTTTAAACTTCAACTCCGACATCAAGTCTCACACCAGTAAATAAAACAAATGGAAATATTCTATTGAAATATATTACTCTTTTGCATACAATTTTCTTTCAAAAATTACCACTAAACTGGGCCAAAACATTACATTTTTCAACGTTAAAATGAATAAAAAAACATTACATTTTTGTTTGTTG